GTGTGTGTGTGTGTGTGTGTGTGTGTGTGTGTGTGTACACACATACATGCACATGTGTGAACACACACAGCCCCAGACCTCTCAATCTCTATTCTGCACTGAGGGGTCTGTGAAGCTGCTTCTGTGCCTGATAAAGACGCCTCATCTCTGGGCTACAGTGAGCATGAATCCTGCCTCTTACCCACACCACCTCCTTATTTGACTTTTTTATTCTACCTTACACCTCCACCCTCCATTTCTCTGTCTCTCCCTCTCTCTCTCAGTCTTCACCGATATCTTTAACCCTTCCTTCAAGCTGTAGCAAGACTTAGAATGTTTGTGCTTTCTGTAAATAGTTAGTTTTAACTAGAAACCTTCGCTAAGCAGCTTGGAGGCACAGTTTCTGACCACATACATATGAACAGGTTCTTGTCAAACACCGGCTATATTTGCACTCAGTGCTTAGTAGAAGTTGAAATCACCACACACCCCACAATAAGATATTATCAGAATACTACACTCACATTACAATGCAGTCGTGATCACGGTAATATGCCTAATTGATCCCCCCACCCAGTGCTTAACAGGGATATGAAGTTTGACATTTGGCTAGTGGAGAAAAGGTCTTTATGTTGGACGTCTTCACCCCACACAACTGTATATATGCATGTATAGCCACACCTTGCTTGCTAATACAGCCAAGAGTTCTGAGACAATGAAAGACAAAAGATCAGGAGGCTTCAGGTTTGATAGGAATTTAATGAAATTTGGAAGTTAAAATTTATATTTACCTTTAGTCTGGAGAGTAAAGCACCTGGAACTGCAAGAAGAGATTAGATGTGTGAATTTTGTCTAATATGGTTGTGTGGACCTGACTATATCTGCATGAGTGTGTACCGATAGAAAAGAGAGGGCGCATAAATACAGAGACATGCTGAGTTTCCTTGTTGCATCTGTATGACATACACCAACTTCTTTCTTATATTATTTTAATTGTTGGTATAACCAACACGTGTACATTAAAAATGAAGCAGAAAAAAAGCTTTCCATGGGTAAGTAGTAGAAAAGGACTGTGTGTGCATGCACAGGGTAGTGTCCATGTGCATGCACACTTGCACCCCACATCAAAGGAACGGGGCATTTCATCAAAAACTAACCAAGTGTGACAAAATTACCTGAAGGCAAAGTCAGCCAATGAGAAAGCAGCTTTTTGGCATGCAGTAGCCAACCGCTGCTTCCTGTCACTGCACTAGTTTCCCCCTGGCTGTGCCCCATGTGATGTCCATGACATGAAAGGCACTACAGAGCTCAGTCATCCTCTGACACAGGCGCACACAGGCTGAGCATCAGACAGCTACACCATGGAGGCCTGTGCCTTCCAATTGGTCTCTTTAGTTTCACAGGTGTTTTTGTTTGCTTCAAGGACGTTTTTCACTTTAACCTGAGAGGTTTTCCTCTGAAAGCTACCTAGCTTCAGAAGGTGAATGAGACTGTATCCCCTAACTGGAACTGGGGCTTTGTTTTGTGTTTTTGCTCACTGGTGCGATGCTGCAAATGTATAAGCCTTTTATAGTCATGAAAATAAGAAAGTGCACCCTATTTCAAATCCAAGGGTTTACATACCAGGACTTCTCTTTTTTTTAATAATCTGGTCCTTAGCAGGTTCTAAACTAATTTAAATACCTCCGGTGAACAGCAACACATATTTTATTGCATTTTTTTTTTTATTCAACAAAAGCTAAGTGAAAATGCAGAAGCAGAAAAAACTAATCCGATCCTTTTAGTCAGCAGCTTGTAGAACCACAGTTAGCAGCAATAACTGAAGTGATCATTTTCTGTATGACAATTTTTTTGGAGGAATTTTCATTCACTCTTCTATATTGTCTTGCTTCAGTTTATTGAGGTATGTGGGCATTCAGTTATGCACAGCTCTCCTAAATGCCACAACATTTCAATCATGTTGAGGCTGCATGATCCACTCTGGGCCAAACTGATGGCCGCGCGTCTCTTTCTAGAATACTTTGGCATACAGAGGAATTCATGGTCCCGTGCCTGCAAAATAAGCCCAAGTCATCACCCCTCCACTGCTGTGCTCAACAACTGGTACGAGCTGTTTGTTCTCATATGCTGTGTTTTGATATCCCCAGACATAGTGCTGTCCATCATGGTCAAACATCTCTACTTTATTCTCATTTGTCCAAAGGACATTGTTCCAGAAATCTGGTTGTTTGTTCAGATCTGATTTTACAAACCTGTGCTGTGCTGAGATGTTCTTTTTTGAGAGAAGAGGCTTCTCTTCGTAACCCCCCTATTCAACACCCTGAACAGGTCACTAGTGTGTTGTAGACAGAGACAGAAAGCCATTTGCACTTACATTTGCAGCTATGGGCAATGTAGAGTCACCAGTTAACCTAACCCAACTATCTCCATGTCTTTGGACTGTGGGAGGAATCTAGAGTACCTGGAGGGAACCCATGCAGACATGAGGAAAACATGCAAACTCCACACAGAAAGGATTCAGCCAGATAGTGGATTCAAACCAGGACCTTTTTGCTGTGGGGCAAAAGTGTTAACCACTGCACCAC